AACCTTTCGTGAAAAGCAAAATCGAAAAGCGTGAAGATCTATGCTGTACCAAGAGGAACGACCCTCTTAAATGTGTTTCCCAAAAATTTGAAAGTGAACGGATGGACCGATTACGATAACATTTTGTAAGTGAAATTTGTAGATCGGAGTTCGTGAATTGACAATGCAGGCCAAAAAATTAGAAAGGCTCTTTTGACATCTCTCCGTTAGTTACGAACCGAATTGCATGAAATTTTGAATGTAGGCACCTCTAGTAAAAAGAACAACTAATGCCGAATCAAAACATGTATTTTGCGCTTGCGCAATCCGATTTTTGAATTGTGAAGATATGTAAATGAAATCCATTGAATCCAGGTTTTTTTATTTTTATTTTTTCTGAGCATAAACTCGTCTTTAGATGTATCGTTATTACTCATGATTCACGATGATACGAAGTACATGTGAACATCACATCCTTTTATCACGTACCGTAATTATCACGATTCATAAAAGACGTGTGAACGGAGCTTAATGCTAACTCCCTATTTTTTTTTAATTTTTCCCATACCGATATCTCGAACGTTGAAGGGTTTAACTATGACTATTTATAGTATTAATATAAGTTGTTGGTTCTTCATCGTCGATGGCGCAGTAAACGTTAACAATGAACGATAACTGCTTAAATTCTAACTGAGGCTAGGTAGATTCCTGATGCGGTAAAAATTATGATGAGTTTCTGTTTTATGTGAGCCTGTAGTTAAATGCTATGATTACGAACCATGAAACTTGTCTTTGACGGGTGATGTTACTATATAAATCGAAGCAAAGAGCCACACCTGCTGCAGCACCTAATTTGTCCTCCAAGTTGTTCAAAAAGATTGATCTCATGAGGGGACATTGAATCTTATTTTTCTTATGGCCTTAAAACTCACTAGATCGTTTAGCGACGCTTTTGAAATGCAACTGCTAATAAGTATATGATGCCCTACAATACTTCTACAGTTTTTCTTTAGATTTTTTTAAGATTATAAACGGTAAAAAAACAGTGACTTGATACCCTATATTTAGGAGGTGGTTATATCCAACGTTTTAACTTTCAATTGCATTGACCCAGTAGTTACTTTGGCTTTTCATAATCTCAATAAATACGGAATGCGAGTCATTATCTTTAGAAGGAGATCACAAAGCTTAATCTCATCCTGAAAAAAGCGTGGCTATTCCTTACGACCATCAGAGATTAGATTCCAGAGAACTCGACAGTGATTCTTCAACTGGAACGGTAATTTTGTACAGGATCGGTATCCACAACTCTTCATAGCAGTCACTTGTACTACCAAGAGAGAATACAAGCTTACTAGTTAAAATTCGCCGGAATGCATAGTGTATGGTGGGGATAGCAGGTCAAAATAACATACTTCTTCCACATGGCCAAGAGCCAGGAAACGAATGCATCTCCACCACCAAATTTTTTATGGAAGCTCATACGCGCAAATTGCGATGAAACGATGACAATGTATTTAAAACAGCAACTCATTTTATCTATGCTCTTAGAATACATGATTATTGATTAGTGGCCGTCATTTTCTTCTTCACTTATCATTGTACCGTAGAAGAGAAACTATGATCTTATAATCATTATCATTTCAGCGCAGAACTCTTAGTTTAAGTTGTAATTGCATGAAGCATTTCATCTACCATCTAACATATTAATGAACGCACATGGAATAGTAATTGCATGTTGAAAGATACTGGTATGCCCATCTTCTCACTAAGCTCGCAAACTTTCGCATTACTGGCTTCGGTAGATTGTGGATGGTAGATATTTTTTGTTTAACTCGATCGCTCGTTTATTTGCAACTTATGTTTTTAAACTTCCTTATTATTGCTTGTCTCCTTTTAACGCTAAAGTATTTATAATCATTTATTTACATACTAGCGATTATTGGTGGAAAAGTTCTGTGCAGAGAGATGGGAGCGACCGAGTGAAACAACAAATTTTTGTACGTGTGGTGTTTTCAAAAAGCTTCGTTTACTTCAACTGGTTGTGACGTAAACGAGGTGCTAATTAGGCGTAAGGCATTTTTATTTTGTTTTCTTTATCCCTATTTCCCCAACTGAGAACAATGATAATTTCAGAGCGAGGTTCACAAGACGCTTCCGGTACCCGACCTTTTGGAGAACCTCTATGTTTGCTATCGGTAACTGAACAAGAAAATGGTCGCGATAAACTCCCAACACCCCCTTCACCTTCACCATCTAAAGGAAAAAATAGCTTAAAGAAAGGAACTAAATATAAAAAGTAAAATTCATTTCGACAAGTGACTTAGTTTTATTTACGTAAAGACTATTAATTGTAAAGACATTTAGGTATACTCAATTTTCCTGTACGTACTTCGATTAAAAGTGTTTCTTTTTATCTACATAAACCGCGACAAAAAAGGTCTTTTCGTATTGCGCGCTTGATAAAAAGGCAACGCGTAAGTGATATTGGTTTGAAACTAAGGTTTGGCGGCGTGTAGCTTCAATAACTAAAATTGTAGTGATGAGATCCCCCAGAATTTTGAAACTCCCATAACACTCTTCCTTTTACTTTGTTTACACTTTCGTATGTCTTTCCAACTTTGCTAAGTTTACACGCGTGGTAGTGCTTAGAAAGAAAGTTGCTAATCGATTTATTTTTGATATAAATCGATCCGTAGTCCTTCAAGAAATTCTAATCGTGTAAACCTAGTAAAATTGTCTTGTTTTATCAGGAACAAGCATGCGGACTTCTCCCACTGCTGTGACGTTTTCCCTTGAAAATGGGACGAAATCTTTCGGTCTGTATCTTAGACAAGTGCAGTAGTTCCCTAATAGATGGTAGTAATTTAGAGCAACACCGAAACGTGGCACATTCACTTTTTGAAAGCGAAGTGCACCACAACAGTTAATCCAGCATGTTTGTTATCCTCAGTGTGCATTTTTCGTTGTGTAGTGTTTTCGCTGTATTTTGTTTGAATAAATAAAGTATTGCTAAGAAAGTTAAAAATAATCGCATTTCTCGTCAGCTCCCCACTCCCCACGTCGGCAGAAGCTAAACCTGCGCATGAAAAGCCTCTCCCTGGACTCGCCAGAAAGCACAGAGCACGTGCAGAGGAGGAGACACCATGGCACTGCGACAACTAGTGAGCCCCACTCCAAAGAAAGCTCTTCTTCCAGAATTCAGTGTAGGAAGTGAATGTGTTTAGGTGTTTTTTCGCACTGAAATGGCTTTATGCACGAACACAGGAGATGGACGTGGAATATATTGCTTGCACTCCTAATATACTTGGCTTGTTTGTGCTTTTAATGTCTCCCTATTAACACTGCGTACTTGCTTTTCAACAAATACTAATGATTAATATTGCACGTTTCTTTTTGTTCTTTTAGTTCCAGCTCGTTCAAGACCTCCATACAACTCAATTGCACGGGGTTCTGTTAAAGCACGATCAAGTACGCATCTATACAGAGTTTTTTTTGTCTTATTCTTAATACGCTTTTTACTACATTGGGGTTGACAATTGCCAATTCTTATTTAGCTCCATCTAGCCCAGTTCACAATCGTCGATTACTCTCCGCCAAGAATATAAGAATGTCATCGGTTGAGCTTCCAGACGACAACGACAAGAGCCCGTCTTCGGCGAGCACGTCGCCGTGCCCCAGTCCCGTTGGTGTGAAGGTACCTTAAAAATAACCAAGTTAAATTGTGCACTTTAAAATGTGTCGTTTAAGAAAACGCATCGTTTGTTACCGACGAACCTCTACGTAGTCCTTTATAATTTTAAGTCGCGCCACCAAGACGAGTTGGATCTCAAGGCGGGTGATAAGGTGACTGTGATAGATTTTGCGGATCCAGATTGGTGGAAAGGCAAATGTTTGGGAAGGGTTGGTTATTTTCCATCGAAGTATTGCTCCAAGTTGGCGGCGGGAGAAAAAGCGCTGCAGGTAAGTCTATATTCCCTATACGGCGTAAATCACAGAATGTCCCATACATCGATATAGGTACACATTTGAAATGTCGATGCTGCTGTTCCCAATCGTACACTTACGTGAAATCTTTCATTTTAAATAAATTAAAAGATGCCCTAAGGAGTAAAAAAGGAGCAGTGCTTAGGCATCTGCATTCAACTCAGATATACCTGAAAACACATTAAACTTGGAAATAGACCAGAGTAGTAGTACTGTAATTCAGAATAAATTTACGGCAAATAAACAAATAAAAGATCTCGAGTAATGAAATTAGATAAACAACAGAAATTGACTTTGAGTAAATAATACTTGTTAAACGAATTCCGACGAGAGACAAAACTACACAGTGCAAAGTTTGTTTCATTAATTTCGATTCAAAACATAAATGGACGTAGATCATATCAGAGATAACAAGATGGCGGCTGGATGTCGTGAAGGTACAACTGATTGGCTCAAACAGGTGGAAACAATAAGGTAGTTTTCGGAAAGAAGCCCCCACTTTCTCCCGGGAATTTTTCCGGTACTCCGCCTGAGCGAGAACCACGCTATAGCTATTTTTTGTCATGTTTCAAAGAAACCCCCAAAGTGTTTTTTTTTGCCGAATTCTTTGTCTTTATGTACAAAAGACAGAAAAAATTATTATGGTCATAGTGGATGAATTTTTGTAGGAAAATGTGATCTCATGCGCAGAGATAATACAATAATACACCGCGTGTAAGGCGGATCTAGAAAAGTGGCAGAGTGGTGTGACTCGACGAGGTCACTGGTTTTGACTCAAATACAGTGCTATTTATTGAGAAGTAGACATAGGGATTTATGTGTATTGTTTTTTCCTGTCTACTTTTAAATGAAAGATCTCTTCTGAAGGGCGGCTAATTTTGTGCAACCAAATTAACTTGTCAATTGGTATAGTGCCGGTGACAGTTTCAAGGGCGTAAGAGATTTATTTTCTGTTAAGCCAAAGCAACAATTTTCAAACTAATTAATATGACAACCAGATGTTTATTTGTTTTAAGTTTTGGATGCCTATAATTAGGCGCCCTTCAGAAGAGATTCGGTCTTAGACATAGGGAAAAACAATACAATATCTCTATATCTACTTCTTAATAAATATCACTGTATGTGGCATATGGGTCAACTGTACAAAGTTTGAACCGAATTGCTTCAAAGTTCAAGTGATTGTCAATTATCGTGTTCGCAAGCAAACAACCACCATATACTATCCTAAAAACCTTGTTTCGCTTTACTCTGTCACTTAATAATGGAAACAGGACAAACAAATGAAGGAAACGATGGAAGGAATTGAAAATATACTGCGAAAAAAAGGAATGGAAGAAGAAATATGGTATGTGTTTATGTATTAAATGAAAATTTTGTGCATGAAAGCAATACTCTACCGAATGCAAAAAGAACGAACTTAATATTTTGAAAACTCTAGGAGTAGTTAAGGCCTCGGACAGACGGACAGACGGACAGACGAATGGACAGAGAAAGTAGCTGCAATAGCGCACCCAGCATCGTTGGAAAATGCGCTAAAAAGGGGATTAAGATTTAAAAACATTTTCATGCTGCGAAATTTGATATGAATTCCTATGCACCATGTACAATTGTACAATTCTATAGCATAATCCCAACCTAATTTTAAGAAAATCCACACGTTTCAAATCTGTACCTACTCGATCTCTATTACTCGTTATGCTGTGTTCGTATATTTAATTAAAACTGCAAGAGCACTTTTGCAAATGTATGGAGTTAAATAATTTGAATAAATATTTTTGGCATTATACGTATCGACCCTTAAGCGCAGAAAACAAAAGAATATTTTAATAAAGTGGATACCCTAATTTGAAATCATTTTTCAGAAAAAGCATATTTAACAATCATAAATATTCACACGCTTGTATTTCCATACATTTAAATTTCAAATACGCCGCTAATATTTGATCTTCAACTTTGAAATCCGAGTTATTCTATTCGACCAATGTAAAAATTGAATTGGGGTTGTTCATTGATGGCCTTCGTTTTGTAGGTTACACACAATTTGCAACTGTCGGATGGGGAAAATGGATTAATGTTGCTGAGGGACCAAATAGTAATTCAAATAGGTGAGGAAATCGATGGAATGGTGATGATCCGTTCTGGTGATAATCGTCAAGGAGTTTGTCCTGTCAAGTTTCTGCAGGAGGTGTGACGACGTACCGAAGTTGGTTGTCAAGTAAATCAAGCGTGTACTTGTGTGAAATCAAGCACGAAGCCCTTACAATCAACCTTAAATAAAATTTACTACCATTATTCCAAGAACTCATCGCAGAAGAACAATACAACGACGTGGTACACGTTTGGAAATAGAAAAAATTTAAACAACGGGAAATTTGCCCAAATACTACTACAACAATATAAACAACAATAACCTGTCGAAAAATAACTACGTATATTTACCAAAACAGAATAACCTAAATAACATAAATAACATATTCGCTTTATCAAACGCTCAGTATCAGAACGAGTATAAGTATTTACAATGTAAAGCGCCATTTTCCTCAACCAAACGGCCTCTATCGATCAAACTTTCTACCCCAAAGCACGTAACTAATTTTTTTAACAAAACATTTAGATCCGATTCGCAAAAAAGGCCTCTATTGTTAAATTTGGGCTCGTCGACCTGCAGCTTGGATGAGCCGGTCGGTCCCAATTTTCAAATCGTACCCGATCGTTGCGGGATAAAGATATCGTCGATTTATACAATCAGCGAAAACGTCGAGAAGTTCACTCCAAGAAGCTCACTGTATCCAAAAAGAAACTTCTACATCACATCGAGTAGCAGGCCTCTGTTTGTGCGAAAATAATGCCCTTCCTATAAAATTAAAAATTGAAAAAAAAAATGTTCTAGTTGAAATAAGTTCCCTATTTTTGTAAATGTTAGAATTGTTGTGACTGAAATGAGCACGTCCTTTGATACCTTAAGCACCAGCCATTAAAATGCGTATATTTTCATTTTGACAGATCAAAATTTACGGCTTGTTATTATATTAACTGGTTTTAATTATCCAGTGAGATTTCATCAAACTGCGTTACTTTGCTGGATTATGGTTAATGTTGAAGCTAAATTCATATATAATTTATTAAAGGAATTGATTAAATATTTAATAAATGTTAATACTACCTAATAGGGCTTGCGAGTTTAGGATTAGTTTTAACTGTTAAATGTTAAGCAATCACATCATTCCAAAGACTGTTTCGAAATTGGATTGTAAGTTAGTAATATTGGCAGCCTAAATTTATTTATTTATTTCCCTTACCAATAGACTTAAATGAAGGATATGTACAAAACAATTTCGAATTGTTATATGCACACGACCAATTTAATAAATTATAGTATTATTTAATAATAATTAAGTAATGTCGTCGGTGTACGCACTAGTGCTACAGCAACCGTGATTGAGAAATTAAACCTGTTAACATATTTTTAAGTCGATAAAGAAACCTTGGTGTCTCACATTGGCCGCACCATTTACCTACCTACCTGTTGGAAAATTGTAAGATGTATATATTTGTTTTAAAACTGTACTCACTAACCGTGTCCAACTTCAATAATAAAATTTCCAAAAATCTTCAGTTTACTTTTCCTTTACAGCTTGTTAAAATTAAAAAAAAAATGGTCCACAAACAAAATTTCGTTCGATACGAAAGTGTTGGGGTCCCAGGTGCAAAACGGTCAATTGCGCTGTTTTTAGAGTGACTAGTTATGATTAAAAAGGTAGTCTATTAATCAAATTCGTGCGCCTAAACTGTTTATATGCAGTGCGAACAACATTATGAACAAAACGACTACCGGTAAGAAGGTTAAAGACAATTAATTCAAGCTTCTGTTTGGTGTAAAAGTCTAAGTTATAAGGGTACATTTTTGATAATTGCACACTGCAACATCGGTAAGCTATTACTGTGAAGAACTCAAAGTTCAACTAAGGAAATCATAGTAAGTCTCAAGCACGGTTTCTCCAGAAAGAAATTGCGTCAACCATGTTTCGAAATTAATTTTCAACCAGTAACCTAATTCAACTGGTAAACAAGAGGTCCGATCGTATTGCCCAACGCGTGCCACCCCCCAATTTCAAATTGCTGCGACCTTCCAAAAGAAAAATGACAATTGCAGAAAATTTCAACCAATCGATAAAGGTAAGTTTATTTATTTTTTGTAAGAGAAATTAAAAGTTTATTTATTACCGAGCTAGCCGTGGTATTAATTATTTCATTGCCAAAAATTAATTGTTACAGTACAATTTTTACCAGTGCCGTAGAGAATAAAATTAATATTCTTCAAGAGAATTATTTTTTACAGAGTTATCAAATGTTTTTTTGTTAATTGTTAAATATTTTTTTGTGCAATTGGACGCGAAACAACAACTTCGCGTTCGCCATGGCGGCCGCGAAATTCACTTTCGCGGCCGCTGTCATAGCGACGGCCGTTAAAGTAAGACAATGTCACATATATTTTGACAATCAGCATGTAGGTAATTACAAATCTTTTGGATAAATGTTAATATTAAGCGAACAGTTCGTATTGTTACTTATACTTACTCCTGAAATAAAGTGTAAAGTGTTAGAAGCGGTTATACTTTGAAACTGTAACATTTTGATTTTCATTAGAACTCAAACTGACAGGTACACTTGAAGTCCTTGTAGCATTTTTCGTACTGCCGCTTCGATTTTTCAGGTACTAACTCATAACTGCAACACAGCAGAATTCACAACAAGTTTTATTTCCGGAGGAGTTCCGGATATCGAAGAATCACTTTCGGAGTCACACATTTTGACTTTTCTTTCACGAAAAATTATTCATTGTTTATCTCATTTCCATGGTAAAATGAAAATTGGCCGTCTTTCTATTTGCGACGAAAATTATTATTTTTGAAATCTCATTTTTATTTATTGACGATTCTACACAATTGCACAAAAAATGTTGTGTATACCACGGCCGCGTCATTCTTTAACGCCCTCAAAGTTGCCTTGCCTCGGCCGCAAGCGGCCTCGGCGCCAATCTTCTTTTCGGTACGTTAAAGAATGACTTCGCGGCCTAAGTATACAAATAACTATTTTAAGAACCATTATCAACGTTTTCATTTGGCGTGTAACTTATTTTCTCAAAAAACAACCATTTAGAATTGGTGCCGCAAGTCATATGACCTGAGGCGGCAGACGGTCGATTTTAACTTACTCAGATAGGCCAAAGTAGAACTCCATCGGTTAAAATTTTGATAACGAAGTGGATTTCGAGCTAGCTCCCCTACTATAACTTCTCGTACTTAAAATCAATAATGCGATTTATGGATGTCATGGTAACAAACAAAGTTGCATCCACATCATTATTACATGTCAAACTCAAAATTTCTAAAATGTCGCTAATTGAGGTAATTTCCGATCAGGCTAACAAAAAATTAGAAAAAGTGCCGGAGAGCATTATGCAAATGTGCAACTTGAAAATGCTGTACTTGGAAAATAACGAGTTGTTTAATCTTCCTGACGATTTTTTCGCAAAGCTACCTAAACTTACATGGATCGATTTGAGGAAGAACAAACTTACGGCGCTACCGAGCGGAATGGCCGATCACGCTAATTTAGAAACGATCCTGCTACAAAATAACTTAATCCAAAAACTGCCAAACGAATTGGGTAAGTGACTTCAATTATCGAGGTTTATTAATTACATTTTTCAGGTGCAATTCCAAATTTAAAGGTGCTGCAAGTATCGGGAAATCCACTCACATATCCACCTCATGAGGTTACCGATAAAGGCATCGTGGCTATATCTAACTTTCTTAGGGAACAGTATTTTTTAACTCGCGCGCAATCGGATGCCGATGCAAAAATTGATGCGATATCAAATGCGTCCTCGAAAAGTGAAATTAGCTCTGACAAGGAGTATAAGGTCTCCGTGGACAATGAGAGACAATCGCAACGAGAGGTGAAATTCATGCCAGTAATCGACGTAAAGAGATTAACGGAGAATGAGACTAATCAAAAGAACACCGTAACTAATGTCGTTAAAAGAACGCACAAGATAACAAGGGGTTGCTCAAAGATATCTCTACAATCTCATTCAACATGGAACAATAAACGGAAAATCGAACGCGCCCAAGAGGGTGAAATGAAGGAGATATGGCTGAAGCGATTAAAGGATATCTTAGCCGATCAGGAAAAAATACTTCAACAGGAACGGTAAGGAAGTTCACACGATGACATCGATCGTCTTCACTAAAATTTCAGAAATTTAAAGGCGTTGAGCAAATGGAGGCTGAAGAAAAAGTTGGAACCGGTTAGAGAAGTAAATTTGAATGATCTGTCAGAACCACCCTTCGACACTGACCCGGAATACCAAAGAATGCTCACGCGACAAGATTTGAACGAGCAAATTGACGCCTTGGTACAGAAAACTAAGCGTATAAGAAAAATGAGGCGTCATGCGAAGAGAGTGAATATACAAGAATTAATAGATGACGTTGTAAACCAAATGAGGTACCTTCAAACGCAAGCGGAACAGTCGAAGTCGCCGCGTACTGATCAAGAAATTGCAGGGAAGCAAATAGAAAGTGTAAGTATTGCCCGGACTCCAAAGCAAAGCACCTTCAAGAGTACTTCTTTTGCAGATTGTGAAGCTCCATAAAAAGATTGTTGAACTACAAACACAAAATGAGAGATATTAGAAGTGTGTGCCCTTTGCTTTGTCAGAACAATGTTGTAAATGGTGGTATTAAACAATGTGTATAGCAACTATCGTTTCCCTTGTTTGCTAAAGATCACAAAAGTGACTAAGAATAAGAAATCTCTGGAAAGTAGTTTCTAGGTTTGCCGCTGGAGATCGTACGAATCGTGGTGAAGTGTAAAGATGTTTTTTTTTTCTAAAATATACCCAACAAATATGCATAAAAATGCGTGCATCGCAATCTTGTATGAATTTTGTATCATTTTGATGCAGCACATATTGCGCTAGCTCATAAAATATGACGCGAGGAAGTCTCTACGTCATGAATAGAGTCTTTCAGTAAATGTGATAAGTGGTAGACGTCTCATATGGAATAATTATTTCATCATTTTTAACTAGTGCTAAGCATGTTACAGTAACGGGGAGCAAAACCAGTTTTTAAAAACGTTAGTGTTACATAGCCAGATTCCTGCCGCCGAAACAGGCATATCTCCTGTTTTCAAACATTTTTATTGTAAATTCATTCATACCATATTCTCTGACAATAATCGTTTAGACTGCTCATTTTTTATTTCTCTTGAATTTCGGAAAATTTTACTAGACGATTATCTTTTCCTTTGTAGTATGTGGCCATTCATGGTAAGGAAAAAAAGATAATTTTACTGAGTAAGTACCAAAAATCAAGCAATAAATCATAAAATCTAAATTTTCTTCATGGCCCAATGTGGGTAACGTAATTGAAATAAACGTTCCAAAAATAATAGAGTTTTTGTATTTAATTTTATTTAGTTGGGGCCTAATGGGCGCTTAATTAAATTTAAAAAAAAGCAATTATTTTTTGATAATTTATTTCAATTATGTACCTTATTTCAAGAATTAATGTTTTGAGCACACATAGTGATAGGAATAATTAAGTTAATTTCCCCATCATAAAATTGAGTAAGACTGATAGAAATGCCATTAAATAAATTTGTGATGCTCCTACATTAACCATTCCCTTACACGTTTCTTTCCTTCTTTTTTGGGTGATATAGTGTCGTATCACCTTTTATTATATTTTATTGAAGTCATTTTAAACATCAGCGGTATATTATTGCGATGTAGTAGTGGTAGCGTTTTGAAAAAAACTCGTTCGATATAAATGAATTTTGAGTACCCTCCTTCCATATATAACCGATCACGATAAGAGATCGAAGAAATGGAGAGTGGAAAATTAATTCCTTCCTTCCTTCCCCCATCATTTAGACACTCGTGCACAACTGTCATTTATATTGTCGATTCTGTGCGCCTCTCACAAATCAAAGAAAAGTAAATAAACGAATCAAATTTTTGCTGACGAGTCGATCACTTAATAGCGACAAAGATTTCTGACGGCGGATAACTCATTAGCCGTATTTTCGAAAAGGTTTCATTTCTTGGGTTCGATTCGTTGTGTTACAGCAGTGAATCGTACTCATTAGAATACCTGTGAGTAAAATTTGTGTGAGATCAGACGTAAAAAATGTTTATTCGTTGTATTAAAACAGCAAGAACGCAGACACGTTACTTTTGATAGCATGCGTTACCTATAGAATTTTGATCCAAATCTAATTTAATAACCGAAATCATTGAATAATGTTTATTCAATGCCGAAGACCAGTATGAGGCGAGAGGGGTAAGTAAATGGCACCACCAACCACGTTACTTGTTTTAGACCGTACACAACTACGAATTCGCCGGAAGTACTTTCTATTGTATGCTAACAATAACATACATATTACACACTAGAAAGTAGATTCAATTAAGAAATTAATTCTCATCAAAGTGTATTATTTAAAAATAATACAAGTAAATGCCAAGTAAATTAAATTACTTCCAACATGCGATACTTAAAATTACAATTAAGTAACCAAATTCATTCCAGTTCAGAGGTCTTTACTGTCAAGGCTCCCTGGGAGTTTACTATCAGTATTGTACATGTAATATTTTATCACTGTTATCAAGTTCTAGTTTTAAAAATCCATCGGAGAAATAAACTTGCGTTCCTTTCCTGAACATGTTTTGCATCATCGCAAATACTTTGTGTGCCATTTTGGGGTCAATTTGGAGATATTTTGTCCCTAACTCCAAAAAATCAGTGAGTGGCGAAATAGTTTTGGTAAGTTCCAAAAACCTTAAGTTTCTGCTGTTGTCATTTCAAATGTCGATTAGATAACGGGCGCTGCCCAAGGTATAGGAAGAGAGATGGCACTTCTGTACGCATCTGAAGGCGCTACCGTGGTCTGCGTGGACATACAAGAAGAATCCAACAGAAAAACTACCAGAATGATATCCGATCTGGGATACGGAAAAGCACACGCTTATACGTGGGTATTTTCAAGTTTGGGAATTAGATACACTATAATAATATAGACATACAGGTGCGACGTAAGTGATTACGCAAAAGTGATGGATATGTGTCAAGATGTCGAAAGGACAGTAGGAAATGTTACCATTTTAGTTAACAACGCAGGTATTGCTTTTGTCAACCGACTTTGTGCGATGTCCAAAGAAGAAATTGAACGAAATATCTGCGTTAACACCTTGTCTCACTTTTGGGTGAGTATATATCTGCAATCACTGTGCCAGTATCGGCTTCATAAATTGTTTCAGATGATAAAAGCTATATTGCCGTCAATGTTAAAAAACAATTATGGTCACATAGTCGCTCTGGGATCGATAAGCAGTTTTGGGGGCGTTCCACTTCTTATTCCGTATAGCGTCTCAAAGTATGCAATTCAAGGGTTAATGGATAGTTTACGAAAAGAGCTTGCTTTGTACGGAAATTGTCAAATCAAAACTACTTTGGTACATCCCTTCTTTATTGATACGGAGATGGTGAACAGAGCCAATGTTAACTATCCTTCTTTTTTGCCGAAGGCTAACAAAAAGTATGCCGCCACGAGTATAGTGAACGCCCAAAGAAGTGAAATGGTGGAGGTTACTATTCCTGGTTACTACTTAGCGTTGAAGTGTTTATTTAGGTACGTTATTCAAACATTTTTTGCTTATGTCATATCTTGTATTATTTCAGATCAATTCCTCCAAAGTTATGTGCCTTATTCTACAAATATTTTAAAATCGAGATACAAAAAGACTCTTCTTCATAGTAGGTAGCATAGAATAACCAATAAATACTTATTCAATGATAGTGCATATTAACCATACATAAAATGCAAGACTGAAACCTGTACTTTGTTTAAACTTAACTACTACCTATACCTTAAGCTGCAGTAAAACTTTTTTTTCTATAATATTGTTTGATTGATTGCCTGCTTCATACCTACCATCGAGTGAAAACCTTTTTATAAGAACTAGCTACTTACTATCGACAAGCTCTGGGAATATTGAGTTAAACAAACGGTAGTGGTGACGAAACTTGTGTTGTGTTCTTTGTTCTTAAAGTAAAGTAAAACAAATTCAATACGATACACATACACACAAGATACAACGTTTAATTTTTTTACTAAAGCCAAACTTCTGGCCCAGAGACTCGTTTTCCAAAATGAACTGATACCTCAAACCCCCAACACCAAATTACTGGCATATAACTTATATGCGTCAAATAGCGAGCAAGTCAAAACGTGGCTGTACGCTTCAACTCATTATAGTATAGACCGGGAGGAAGCGTACATAGTAACTCAACCATAACCGACAAAATATTCGACAATATACAGGCTGAAAGTACGTTGAAAACTAGTAATAAAACACTCGTCTGCCAGTCGTAAGTTGCAGCATTAACTTGGGGCGGCGTTGAATAAGTAACTTCACAGACAGTTGTCTGTGGTAACTTCTGTATGTATAATTGTAAAATTTTTATACGGTCCTCATGGTATAGTTCAGGGGTGTTCTTCCCTACATTGAAGGGCGTCTGTAGCCACCAACGCTGCACTTGAAATCGTCTGCCATAGCATATTCGAAAATTATCGAAAAAATGGGATTTGTTGATACAAACCTTTTCCGTGACCCTTATAGTTTAGTAATTTAGTTGATCACCTAAAGAAGTCACTTATTCAGCGCCGCCCCAAGTTAATGCTGCCACTTACGACTGGCAGACGAGTGATTTTATTACTAGTTTTCAACGTATTTTCAGCCTGCATTGTCGAAAATTTTCTCGCTTATGGTTTAGTTACTATGTACGCTGCCTCCCGGTCTATTATCTTGAATACGTATACGTCATTTGAGAAAAAGGCTACACCAATTTTGTGCTACAGATCTCATTTTCTTTAAAAATGCATTTAATCCGAAATTAACGCCCATATGTAAAACTATTTGTTAAGAGCTCAGTTTCGTCTCCCCATGGAATTTTTTCTTGTCTACGTAAACACCGCTCGTTTTGCGGCTTGACTTATTGATTTGATTCTCCTGGTGGAAAACAGGTAATGGGGAATCATTCTGCACCAAATTGTTCATGCGAAGGATCAAAATTACTTAATTAATTGCGAAGAGTGGTATATGCGTATTTTTGCAGTCTGGTTCAAACATTACATACATTTTTCTACAACTGTCAAAAAAACCGTCATTTTCTGACGGATTTCGAAACGCGAAGTACTAGATTTTTAAACGGTTAATTAATAAGTAAGGTTGCTATTGACAACGTGCGCGAAATCGTCAACAGTGAAAAAAAGTATTTCGCGCACGTGACAAAGTTGAACTTAAACAGCAAATTTAATTAACAATCGGTTCAGTTGTAGAAAAAATATTGTATATAACGCTAGCGCGAAGTTATTTCGCGCATTTGACTGATATTTTGACTCGGCTTCGCCTCGTCAAAATACCTTCAGTCTCAATGCGCGAAATTGAACTTCGCGCTCTTGTTATATAAATAACTATTTTCTACAACTGTCAAAAAGACCTGTCATTTTCTGACGAATTTCGAAACGCGAAGTACTAGATTTCTAAACGGTTAATTAATAAATAAGGCTGCTGTTGACCAAGGGCTCTTGACAACGTGCGCAAAATCGTCAACAGTGAAAAAAAGTATTTCGCGCACGTGACAAAGTTGAACTTAAACAGCAAATTTAATTAACAATCGGTTCAGTTGTAGAAAAAATATTGTATATAACGCTAGCGCGAAGTTACTCGTATTTCGCGCATTTGACTGATATTTTGACTCGGCTTCGCCTCGGCAAAATACCTTTAGTCTCATTGCGCGAAATTAAACTTCGCGCTCTTGTTATATAAATAACTATTTTCTCCTTCGACTTTATTCCACGAAGACCGCTGTGTTTTCAAAAATTACTTTTGTTGATTATTAGGTATAATATATTCTTGTAGTGACGGTGCATTTCAATTTCTACGCAACGTCCTAACCATGCAAATTAAAATCTTAAATTACTTCGAACATGCGATACAATTACCTTGGTATTCATATTAACATAGATATTGCAGATGAATAAATTATTTACCTACTTACTTTTCCATATTGTGTTGATGACCTGTATCTCGAAGATTGCATTTTTTTTACTTTATGGCACTAGTCGAGTTGGAACACTTCATAGATTCATAGGTGCTATCATTGTACTATGTAGGGAATTGGTTTAAAGTAAGCATAGTATGGTCATGTCGTGAAGGGTGAAGGGTCCATTATAACTCAACCTTAACAGTAACAAAAACAAAAGTTTCAAAATCTCAAATAGCTAATCTTACAAGATTTAAAATATAACTAGTAGTGGTTTCGAGTCATCTTCGGATCACAAGATCCAAGATTAAAAGATAAAATGAATTCGAACGACGAATGGATCGACCTACTTCTATTTTGTTCTTTCAAATGCAAATTCCCATTTTCAGTAAAACCAACATGGCTTCACCATTATAAACTCCATTTTCACTCATTGCAGTTAAGAGGGTTTTAACTTGCAAAATGAGAAGTAGTTCCAATTTCTCTTACATGTCATAGACAGTAATCTGGAGATTACGACTATAAGTTTTCTGTGGTAGGTATTTTATGCTGATGAAAGCATTGATGTTGCGCAATGTTGCCAGTATGCGATATGTTGCTAATGTGCTATAAAAAAAGAGATCTCGAATGGACTTAAAAACGACCCCTAAAACCGTTGATGTTATGGATGCAATATCCGACTTGATTGAAAAACATGATATTTTATGGGCCATAACAACTTTTTTTAGCACCGTCAGAAAGTTGAGAAAATTTTACCAAGCTTTTGTTAAAATTATTTGTTGATAGGTATCTTTGAAAATAAATTGTCGCCAACGTATTCTCGAAAACGACATTTTTCGGTTTTTTGGCCATAATTCGCTATTTGTCTACAAGACTTTTTGGAAGGGAAAATTAATCACCATACAGTTTTGCATAAATTTGCCCCAAACGGCTTTGTATCTCTTACGGTTTCCGAGTCCCCATAATGAAAAAAAAACTCACCCTGTAATTTTTTTAATAAATACGTTTGTAGTAACAGCACTTTTTATTTTTTAATCGGGAAGGGGGGGGGGCGAGAGTAATTTTAGTTTTATGAAAAGGGGAGCCATGGTAATAAGTTTGAGAACCACTTGGTTAGGAGATACCTACACTAATTTAAAGTTTCGTGTTTATAATAGTAATTTTTGAAAATAAACTATCATTTACGTTGCTGGACTTGAAAATAAATTGACACAAATAGATTAGGTATACATATAGAAATAATTATCTAAATTTATTTATTTAATCTTTAAATTTTTGCTGAAGTCTGTTTTTTTCAAAAATTAATTAAAAACTAGAAACTTCAACTTGATGTATCTCCTAAAAAACAATGTAATTTGTGGTTCTTTACATTTGTCAACCTTATTCATTTTCTTCCATCTCACTGTTTTGGCCCAACATGACGTGTTAAAATTAATACATACCACATTTCTTTTAATCTTTTAATGCTTAAAGAATGCGCTAAAAGTGTTATTATTTTTACAAATTACTATAAACACGAAACTTTAAATTAGTGTATCTCCTCTAAACTATACAAGTTAGGGGGCCAAATAAAATATCAAATTGAAGGTACTTTTATACACTACAGTTTTTAATAATGGATGATTTTACCTAAGTATTACTGTTGATGAGTTATTTTTAAAAAACCGAAAAAAGTCAGAAATTTTTGCAGATTTTTGACCACAGAAATTTCTTCCGACGTCAGTCGCATTGGAAAGCTTGGATTTTTCTCTCTCTTTACTATTTAAACAAGTTTGAAAAATAAAATCTTCTGCCGGACCTTTTGTAACCATTTAGCATTTTAAGCCTAAACTATACAGCACGATACCAAAAACACTTCCAGTGCTCCACGGTACTTGGTTAGTCAATTACTGTACATTCGTCGAAAGTACTTTCTATTTGTATGTTAGGTAACATGAATTTTATAAATACAATAAACCTACAAAGTGTACATTCAATGGAGAAGTTAATTGGCCTCGATGTGTACTATTATTTAATAATAACGCTTCTAACATTTTAACGAATTACGTACATTATTAAAATGTATTTAAATTAAATTATTATTGGAAGTATACCATGATGCGATATAATTAATTGTCGCAAATTGTTAAGGTTGTAAGTTCTGGTTTGTTTGCAAAAATCATAAAACAGATACCAGTTCAGAGATCTACTATCAAGGCTCTCCGCAAGTATATAGTGTGTACTGTACATGCAAGGCACGTATCTAATTTCATATTTTTCTAAATCCATCGTAGAAATAAATTTGCGTTCGTTTCCTGAACATGTTTTGCATTATCGCAAACACTTTGTGGGCCATGTTCGGATCAATTTGGAGATATTTTGTCGCCAAAAAATCAGTCAGTGGCGAAATAGTTTTGGTAAGCTCCGAAAACCTTAAGTTTCTGCTGTTGTCATTTCAATGTCGATTAGATAACGGGCGCTGCCCAAGGTATAGGAAGAGAGATGGCACTTCTGTACGCATCTGAAGGCGCTACCGTGGTCTGCGTGGACATACAAGAAGAATCCAACAGAAAAACTGCCAGAATGATATCCGATCTGGGATACGGAAAAGCACACGCTTATACGTGGGTATTTTCAAGTTTGGGAATTAGATACACTATAATAATAGACATACAGGTGCGACGTAAGTGATTACGCAAAAGTGATGGATATGTGTCAAGAGGTCGAAAGGACAGTAGGAAATGTTACCATTTTAGTTAATAACGCAGGTATTGCTTTTGTCAACCGACTTTGTGCGATGTCCAAAGAAGAAATTGAACGAAATATCTGCGTTAACGCCTTATCTCACTTTTGGGTGAGTATATATCTGCAATCATTGCCAGTATCGGCTTCATCAATTGTTTCAGATGATAAAAGCTATATTGCCGTCAATGTTAAAAAACAATTATGGTCACATAGTCGCTGTGGGATCGATGAGTAGTTTTGGCGGAGTTCCACTTCTTATTCCGTATAGCGTCTCAAAGTATGCAATTCAAGGTTTAATGGAGAGCTTACGAAAAGAACTGGCTCTGTACGAAAATTGTCAAATCAAAACTACGTTGGCACATCCCCTCTTTGCTGATACGGAAATGGTTAGAAAGGCCAATGCTAATTTGCCTTCTATTTTGCCGCGGACTCACCAAAAGGACGTGGCCACGAGCATAATGAATGCCCAAAGAAATGAAATGGTAGAAGTTACTATTCCTGGTCACTACTTAGCGTTAAGGTGTTTAATAAGGTAAGTTATTCAAACCTGTTTGCTTATGCTTATATGTTGTATTATTTCAGATCACTTCCTCCAAAGTTCTGTGCCTTATTCTACAAATATTTTAAAATCGAGATACAAAATGGCCCTTCTTAATAGCATTAAGCATACAGAAAACGCAGGACTATAGAATGAAAACCTTTTTATAATGCACCGATAACCAACTATCGACCAGCTCTGGGAATTTTTGATTAAACGGTAGTGGTGACGCAAATAACAAATCGTATTCGTATGGTGTATTGTTTTGTGTGTGTGTTCTTAGTTGTTACAGAAGAGTCAAACAAATACAATACGATACGAATACCTACACACAGGATAGGTACTCAGTTTAATTTACTGTCAAATTTAAGTGTTTGTAATAACCCAAGTCCAACCGAAAGACGACTGCGCAACTTAAAACCAAAAATGGTAATGGTAAATGTGGTGTGCTTTTAACATATTATCATTCTGAAATTTGTCAGTGGGCGAGTAATCAGTAATATTATCTACATGAAGTTGAATGTCTTCTAAAATTATACTGCTTTCACTACTCTCAGTCTCTCTCCTTCGATCAGGGGATTTCATCGTACTGATCCACTTCCAGTTGTCAGTGAATTTTTTATATGCTGTATTTTTTAAACAAATCGTGTTTCTTTGAGGAGTGTCGACGAACTTTTCCAGTAGGCTCGATTTAATTGTTCTTGAATCGATCTGATATTCATCCTTGATGCGACTTTTCACTTCATCGAGTGAAAATTAACGTTCTTCAGCATTCTCAAGGAATAGATAAATATCCGCTATTGCCGTCTCAACTGTGGGGTACGCCCTATAGCCTTATTTATACTGTGAAGCCAAACAGCTGTAACGAGGTGCAACAGGAGAAGTACGTCCCAAAATGTTCACTCTTCACGTTTCTAGGCAGCATTCAAAAACATGCCTTTTACCGAGTGCATCTAGACCACATGGACAATGTTTGGTTTTTAATCAGCAGTTATTTCTTCTCCACAAAGGCAGCAATGGTTGAAGCGAAAATAACTATTTCACAACTGATCTGAACACAAGCCTTCCAGAGCTCCGTTGATGGCCGATGAACTGAATCATCTACCCCCCAACTTGCACGGGGTTAATCAGCGGCTATTATAGCCTCATTGCAATATTGTGCTATGAACTTATTTCCTCTTCTAAGTTTTTTAGATAGTCTCTTGTTTTAGCTGATTTACGTAGTCTCAGTTTCCTTACGTTTCACTGTATACGGGTCGGGGTTCCTTCCAGGTCCTTATTGCAAATGAAGCATATATTATAATTTGTCATTTCTGCTTCTGACGCCTTTATTAATGAATAATGTCCACAAACACTGTTACAGTGTTTTACCAGAAATGAGTGAACTTTTAGTTCAACGCCACGCTGCTCATGACCATTTTACGTATGACAAAAAAGTCGGTGTGCAAACTTTGCCTGGTGGCTGGATATTCACAGGTAACATTCTTAGTATTAAGGTTTAAGTTGGTAGAAATTAGTGTGGCAACCCTGCGTCAATCAAAATTCTTCCTTTTTTTCAGAGTGAATGTATGTGTCATTTTAGTATTTTGCCATGAGGGTGAGCTTCATAAGTCGGATTGTAACGAAGAGGAGTTAGTACATTATTATGACATGTACTCAAATTTATTAAGTACATGCAAATTTATAACACGACGGCGAATTTCACTATTCCCAATTTGCTTATGTAGCAAACGAAAAGCTTCTACAGAATTCTAGAGGCAGCATAGCATACTTCATGGAAAGAATACGTCACATCCGCATTCAATCCTTATCGCAGGCGACTAATCTTTTATCGATTTGATAGCACCTTGATATCGCTCTAGAAAATTCGCTACAATAAAATAAAAGAAAGTCATGTAGCTATAAATTTTATTGGTTAAAAATAAAATGTTGTCGAGTGAATTGTTCTAAAATTTATAATAAATTTCCAAGGCTAAAAATTCTCACCTTTATTCGGACCTGCCGTACTAATTTCTACCAATTTAATCATAATACTAGATAAACATAAAATATTTTAGAGTGAGAGTAATCCCAAAAATGAATCAAAAACAGAAAGGGAGTTGAGAATGTGTGAGAAAAGCAATAAATGAAACTACTGGTACTGCTGAAGAAAGGGAAAGTAAAAAAGACAGGAGTTGACAGAGATAGCCACATGGTATGCCTGCCCGCTGTCATTACTATGATGCGTAAAACATCGAGAGAGGGATGAAGAGGAGCATGAGCGAGAGGAGGATGAGAAAATGCAAGAGAGGATAGAAGAGGGGAGCAACCACGAGGGAATAATGGAACCGACGCAAGCAGAAGTAATAGAAGAGCAAAATAATTAAAAAAATTACAAAAGCACGGGAGAAAATGGCATACCAGCAGAGTTATATAACTGGGGAGGAGAAACACAGAAACAGAGACAGTAACGAACGTGATCATAAAGGCGTGGAGAAGAGAACGAATGCCACAGGAATGGCATAACGCAATTGTATGCCTAGTACATAAGAAAGGGAATAGGTGTATGTTGAAAAATTACCGCGGAATATCCCTGCTCGATGTGGCATATAAGATTTTCGCGCGGATATTACGAAACAGGCTAACTGAGCACCAGGAACGAGTCGTGGGGGAATACCAGGGAGGTTTTAAAGAAGTACAACGGACCAGATCTTTACGATGAAAATGCTGCAAAGCACCAGTTACGAACAAAATTTGGGACTACACATACTATTTATTGATTTCCGCCAGGCGTATGACACCATTATCACCAGAAAACTGTACGATGCCCTACAAATCTTCGGAATCCCGACGAAGCTAATCGGAAAGTGAGATTGGAAGGATAGGATTAAGACTAGGCGACGCAATCTCAACGGTGCTGTTTAATTTTGTTCTTGAAGCAATTGTTAGAGAAAGTGGGATGGGAGGGGGCGGAATCATTTATCAAAGAAGACACCAAATAGTGGCTTAAGGAAGGAGCTAGAAAAGATGTTTGGTACACTAGTAAAAACGGCGAGATTGTATGGGCTGGAAGTAAACGAGAATAAAACGAAATACATGGAAATGCGGCAAATGTAGGCACTAGTAATACAGTCGTCAATTTCCAGGCGGGTGAGAGGACATATAATTTCGAAAAAGTCAACAGTTTCAATTACCTTGGAGTCACAATAACGAACACGATGGACGAGAGTGTGGAAATATAAAAAACGGATCACTAGTGGGAGTAGGACGATAAGGGCGATTAGCAATATGTTAAATTCAAAGGAGATATCTCGAGCGGCAAAGCTGAGAATGTACAAAACGATTGTACGACCAACAGTAAGGTACGCAAGTGAACTGTGGGCAATGACAAGTCAGATGGAAGGAAAACTGGGAGTATAGGAGAGGCGGGTGTTAAGAAGAATACTGGGAGGAGTGAACACCGGGATGGTGAGTGGAGACGAAGAACTAATAGAGAAGTACAAGAAGCTTACGGGGACATATCGATAGTGACGTTCATAAGAGCTCAGAGGGTCGAGAGGACACGTCGTTCGAATGGAAGAAAGCAGACACGTAAAAAGAATGTTGGAAGGGGGAGCTGGAGGAAAAAAGAAAATGGGACGGCCAAAAAATAAGTAGCTAGATGCAGTGATCAAAGATGTGAAGAGTGTGGGGGTAGAAGATTGGAAAACCAGAGCAAGAGATAGGGTAAAATATAAAGTAGTGGATAAGATTAAACAAATGTGAAGATTAGGGTAAAGTCAAAAATTTAATGTAATAAGGTAGAAAGAACTAAGCCATGGGACTATAAAACCCGTAGTGCTGAGATATATACATAAAATATCGGCCCTTCAAGGTGAAATGCAATGCGAATGGCAGCTTTCATTTCTGATCACCTGGTATAATGCTATGCATCTGTGTGTTTTGTGTATGTACTCTGTGTTAAGAAAAGAGGAAGTGTTTAAAGTTAGGTTATGAAATACATTTATATTTATATTTAATTTAATTTTATTTATTTCTCCTGTATAATGACAAATCTATTGAAGAACAGCACATTTTTATTAGGACAATTAACAAGCAAAGCGTTAAGAATAAGAAATTCCTCTACTTATAAGGCTGCAGTTATACGGGGGACATCCAATTCGTTTTCGGTTGAAGAAGTTGCACGAACAAAACTCGGTGATAATCAAGTGAGAATACAAGTGCATTACTGCAGTCTTAATTCAAATGATCTTCCCACATTTCACGAAAATAGTAAAGGTTCCCCGTTCACGCCCGGCTACGAAATAGGTGGCGAAGTCATCGAGCTCGGAAAAAATGTCACGAAAAATCAAATAATCTTAGGAGAGAAAGTGGCTGCATTGAACTTGGAGAGAATGGGAGGTTTTGCGGAGGAATGTGTTGTGAGTATGTGGTACTACGAGTGTGTCCCAAGTGTACAGGTGTCGTTTTATAGACTAATGTCGAGGATATGTTTCGATTACCCAGCAATCTTCCGTTAAAAGATGCGGCGATACTTATTAGCGGTCATTCTCTGGCTCTATTGGCGTTCTCGAAGATGACAAAGATAAAAAAGGACGATTATGTTGTTATTTCAGCAGGGAGTGGAGGTCTTGGACTAGCAGCCGTCGACATTGCTGCCAATGTGTATGGTGCAAAGGTGTGAGTAAGTTATGTTTTTAATTCATGTTCATTGTTGCAATTTAGGTAATTGGGGTGGTTGATTCAAGTGATAAAGCGGACCTGCTGAGAGATCGAGGGGCATTTAAAACTGTACAGCCGGACTCAAAGTTACAGCAGCAAGTGCTAAAAGCAGCAGAGAAGAAGAACATTAAGGTTGTATACGATGCCGTCGGTAGTTCCCTAACTGAACCACTAGCCAACTGGTAATCTGTAATGTTGATAAAATGACAAACCTTAAATATTAGTTTTTAGTGTGTCATCAGGGGGCCAAATTTTCTTGGCCGGTTCTCATTTGTACGAATCAATTCCAACACCACCTTTCAACACCAATCTCGCCGTTCTTGATTTAATAGCGATTAAAAATCATGATCTGGAAGCGTACAGGTGCTTAGTTAATGATGTTCTCGATCTTGCAGATCAGGGTTTAATTAGTGCACATGTAAGTGCCAGTTTTGAGTTGGGTGATATTAACAAAGCGATTGAATTTATTCAAGAGAAAAAGTGTACTGGAAAAGTGCTTATTAGAATGTTATAACAGTCCTTAAGTTCTTATTTTATTTATTTTTGTATGTGTACAGTTTGTAATTCAAAAATTAAGGAATAAATGTCAGTAATTTAATTGTATTTATTAAGTAACACAAAACAAAGTAAATACTGTAACAGTATTACCATTAAAAGTATCACAAACCTTTCAATATGTTAATGAGACTATACTAATGCAGATGTCTACATTCAGACTTTACACTAAAAAACATAGTTAACAAAAAATCTAGCAGGTACAATGTTTCCTTATTTGATATAATTGTGCTACCTTGTTACATCACGTTTATCTGTATTACAAACATCAACAAAAACTGCTCTTCCTCCATTGGAAATATCTGCGTAATCGCGTTTGCTGGGAGAACAGAGCCTATTTGTAAAGTGGGTATCCCGTTTCCTGTAAATAAAGAATGATTTTAATATCCATTTTTATGCATCCTACAAAAACTAATATCTGAAACTACATTAATTATAGGCAAACTAAAGGATATGGTATATGGACATGGTGTTACACCACTTATCTTATTAATAGAGATATTTTCGAAAGTTTTAACCACAGGTTCCTGTAGTAAAGGCAAACATATCGCATATTATAACATCAGGTGTGGGCATATACGCAGACTGCGCAACGCTAAGTTTCTTATTTATATAACTTATTTTCCTTTGTACACATAAATAGTCCATTATAACGAGCGATCAGAAATGAGTTGCTGTCGAGTCACCTTTGGAAGGTCAAGTTAAATACGATCTCTCATGTAAACAAAAGTTCCAAAGGTGACTCGAAAGCAACTCATTTTTGATCGCACAGTATAACCTTTTAGGAAGTACTGAGCAGTTCATGGAAAATGCGCTTAAGTTACTCGCCTTATATCGAAAACGTGTCTTTCATTTTTTACTACTCCTCTCCTCCTCTGCTTATTTTACCACCCGCACGTTAGTAACATAGGCACATGAATCTCGTATTGATATATGTATATGACTATGGTTAGTTACACATATATCGGGCGATCAAAAAAGAGTGACCGACAAGTCGCCTTTGGAAGTACAAGTTAAGTACGATTTCCCATGAAAACAAAAACTCCAAAGGTGACTCGCGACGGTCACTCATTTTTTATCGCTATGTATTCTTAGATATAAAAAGTTTAAGTTCTCCAATAATAACTTCGCGTATTGCGGAAACGGAAAGATAGTTTGAGTGCAGTCGATATCAATATAAAGTTCATTGCCCGATCATTTACATACAATAAAAGGTAATCGTACGAGGATTCAAGAATGAGAAGCATCTGATGAAATGAAAGATTTTGAACAAGATGCACGGCCTGAAAGATGATGAATCCGAAAAAATTGAAGAATCGTAAAAATCGAAAGGAATTCGAAAAATCCGAAAAAACGAAATAATCCGTAGAAATTGATGACACCGAATGAACAAAAAAAATGCAAACAGATAACTGATGGATCAAATGATCTAAAGAAATCGAACAATCTAAAAATACAAAAGGCTAGAAATCTTAAAACGGACAATTCCATAGGCGCAAATTTTTTGAGAGCGAATTGTGTTGGGAGCGAATTGTCCAGGCGCGAATGGGCCTACAACCATTGTAGATAGAAGTGGGGATCCACGACCATAAAGAATTAATCTAAAGAACTTACCCTCTTCCTGGTAGTTCCATTTCGTCGACAGTTACGCTTTTAACGTATAAATGATCGTTGCACCAAAGAAGACATAGGGTTCGTGGTTCTAAAACGTTCATATCATACTCCCAATTCAATTCGACTTTCTTCACGTTTCCGCCCAAATCTGACGGATGCGACACTACCATTGTATGAGTTGTACCATGCGCAAGCTTCATATCACCGGACGGCGTTAGATTTATGTGAACGACACCGGATGGGCTGTGCAAGGACGCCTTGAGAAAACCTTGCACCCACGATTCAGCAATCAACGGCTTCGCTAATTCAATGCTAATTCGATATAAACGATCTGAAAAAAATGCACAATTAGTTACGTGGAAATCTCAAGAATATGCTAAAACGCACGACAGTAAGGTTGCTCTTTGCCGGTAATCGTGTAGAATTTCGTTCCGATGGTTTCATGAAATTTGTTTGTTTGAGGGGTTACTTCATTTTCCAAATGAGGGCTTGCGTCAAGGTGGTAGCCCATCACAGCACAGTTTCCCGCGCCGGATTTGCATGTGAAGCACTTACCGGAAACAAAATGTTGGTAGCTTGGACATTGATGCGCTGGAAGCATTTAAATGAATCTAATTAACCTTCCCATAATCTTTACCTACCAATGTAAGGGCACTGTGAGTTAATGCTCTCAGTAAACAATTTAATCGCTCTTATATGATTACAAGCGACAAGAACTCGTGACGCTTCCTCTAACCCTTCCCTGTAAAAGCGAAGAATGTATTTCGTATATTAAAAAAATAACATTACCTACTTTATAAGAGTTAATGGAATGAGAGGCGTTTGTGTTATGTCACATCCGGGTTGTTCTTTACCGCTATTGGGATAGAAATCGACGTGCCCACATGACTGCGACATACCATACCCTATACAAATCGATCATTACACAAACAGCGTTTAGGTGACATGTTCAATGTACGCACCCAAAAAAATTATTCCTTTCCCATCTGTATGGATCACATCAACCAATTGTGCATCGGTCGGATCTAGGCGGACATGTGAAGGCATTCCCTGAAAGACAATTGCTAGTTAATAAAATTACGTATGCTAATACAAGATTAGATGATTCTTACTTATGGTAGGTTGAGTAGGATGATCTATGACACAGTTTGTTATTTCAAAGAGTTTATTAAACTAATTATTTATCACTTTGCCGCATAATGCAACTTACCTGAAAATATGGTTCAGCGGGATCCAAGCCAGTAATTCTGCCCAAACCGGGTACCATCGATCCAGCATAACCTGCAGTGTGCGCACCTAAAGAATGCCCTATAATGTGTATGTCTGCAGGATCTACTGCGTAATTCTTCTACAATTTTATTTGAAGATTAATTCCTGAAGATCCCATCACTGTATACATACCATGAGGAAATTAATAAAGTATCCCAATTCCAGGCCGACCAATCGTGTGTTAGCAGTAGCTTGGGTGTACAAAGGAAGACTTCCGCCAGCCCAATCCACAATGATCACATTTAAGTCTTCTCCCTTCAGAAGTTCATCTTTCATATCACCCACCTAAAATTCACGCCCTTAACACATCAAACTTTATTTGCTTTTGTCCCTCTTCTTACCCAGTTCGATAAGGGTGTATCGATAAAGCCATGAATGATAAATTTGATTTTCTTCTTTAAATCTAAACTTGATTTCTTTAAGTTTTCATCGAGGGCTCTCAGCGTTTCACTCTAAAAATAGTTAAATACAGCACGGGTCAATGTATTGCTGTATCTTACCGTATTAGGATTGGCTCTTGTATATAAAATAAATTTAGTATTTATCACAGATCTGGGCAAAGGAAATACGTTAAATGGACGGTAGATTAGATGATACCAACTTCTTGTTATGTTAAGACAGCCCAATTCGTCATAGCATCTTGTTTCATTTTCAACTTAAAAAAAATTGTTACAGTTAGGGATATATTGTTATATAGATATATAGATATTGCTGTGTAAACAATGTTGGGACGTTGTAGTTTGTGTTGATGTAAATGATGTATTTCTTGGAATTGTTAGATTAAGGAATTTTTGTACTTGCATTTTATTGGTTATGAAGGTGCTCATTAATGCGAATGTGACAGATTCAATGTGATTTATTAAGCTTTTCGCTTATTTGAGAAAGATAAAGGTAATTGTTAGAAGTATCGTGACAATTTTCATTATTTCTGGCGCGCGAGGAGGATTTTTTAGTGAAATGTTAAGTTGCTTGAACTGTAAAAATAGAGATATTCTTGAAGATTCGAAATGTTTCCAATACAAATAAAATTCGGATAGGGGGTCGGTTTGGAAAAGTTGGTCACGTACAACGGTTTGGGAGCGCGACTTTAAATACCGTCACTCAACTGACGCGCCCCTAAAACGGGCTCGGAAAATTTCGATCTGGGCGAAATTTTGTATCTGGGTAAAGCTGCCGTACACGCGCGATTGGCCAAAACGTATTTTTCATGCATGGCTTTCGACACGTACAAAAACATTTTTGAAAAAGCCGCACTTCTAGTAAAGTAATAAATTTTCGATTAATTTGCGCGAACTCAATTTTTAACGCAGTAGTCGATCCTATCTTGAATCGTCACCTCCAAAGGAAACACTGGACCCTTCGTTTGGAAAGAATGTTTGGTGTCATTTACCAACTAATTTGTTGACGCTGTATACACGTCATTTCGTGGGAACGTGTCGTTTTTATTGGTCTATTTATTTCTGGGAATTACCATTCATGTAAATATCTCTACTGATGTATATTTACCCGTGTGTTCAATTAATTTATTCACTTTTTTTTATTTCTAGTTATTATTTACGTTTTCGAAGTAATAATAATAATAATAAGGTCTTTATTAGATGACGATCTAAAGGGCGAAGTTCACCTAGGGGCAACATCGCCACCAAGTGTTCTTCCACTTAACCCATAACATAACTTCAATTTAAATGTTTATAATTTCGATGGACACACACACAAAAAGACAATACTGTGAAAAAAAAGTTAATTAATAAGTAACTTGAGAATGGGACACTTTACTCGTTCAAAAGAATGTGACGTAGTGCTGATTTAAACCTGGACACTGTAAGCTTTTTAATATTCGATGGAATCGCATTGTAGACAGTGGTAATTCTATCTGAAAAAGATTTGTTGAACATCTCTGAACTATGAAAAGGGATAGTAATGAGATCCTTTCGTCTGATATTTACATTATGAACGTCAGTTCGAAAGGTGATTTTATTATAAAGATACGGTGGTGTTTTAAAAAATATTATTTTGTGATACAAAATCGCCGCGTGAAGGAGTCGACTTTTTTCCATATCAAGCCAGGATATTGATTTTAATTTATGCGAAACGCTTTGAAATTTACGTATGCAATAAATCAATCTTAAGCAAGAATTCTGAATTACCTGCAACCTGCAGTAAGTTGTATATTAACGGACACAGAGAAGAGAAGGCACGTACGTTTCGTTAGCAAGTATTCAAAAGCTCTTTGCAAAGTAAACAGTGGGCATCGGTTTCAAAATAAGTTAATTAGGTATAATTTTTTTAACAATTCAGAGCTCTAGGGGTATGTATGTACATGATTTCGATGTCCCGATAGAACCGCAAGAATATTGGGAAACGGTTTTCAAATTCCCGGTTAGCTTTGGCACACCCATGGGTTCTTCGATCTGTTAAAACCCCTTGTCAATTCTCGTACTGCTTCCACGTTTCCTGGCACCACCTGTAAATGATCATAGGGTGGATATTATTTCGTATTATTCGAACTGTCGTCGAACCGTTGGCGATCACCTGTAATTTACCGTAGGATATTTGTTTACAAATTGATCCAGATTCTTTGCGTAGAAATTTGGTGTACGATAGCGAATTTGTTGCAAATACGGACTGCAGCCATTGAATATAATATTTCGAGGTGAATTTCAACAATAAACATTCTTGACGTCCCCGTTTAAATGGCCGTGTTACAACCTTCATCAAAGGGGCCATTTATTTTCGGAGACCAAGGATGCTGTATACACTCTCCTTCATTTAGATCAACCGAGAGGACAATCAGTACTTCAAGTTTGAAAGACCAAAGTATACCACCATTATTTTTTTGCTATTATTACGAAGGGGTGTAAATGAAAGCAAATCATTTTTTTTAACATTTATGTGAATACATATTTTGAAATTTAGATATATTGTCTTTATTTGCTATCAGGTGGTCTGAAGCAGAGGTACGAGGCATAATTATGAGTACGCATCGTTATGATTGGTTGTTGATTTTTACTATGTATCAATGGGGGTTTACAGTATAGTTGAATTCCGCAGTTCTAATTTAATAAGCGTGTACCCGAAACCATAAAACATTTTTTTGGACAGTAAAAGTTTATTTAAAAATAGAGGCTGATTAGCAAATAAATAATGAACATGTGCGGTTTTAAAGGTTTATTCAAAACGATATGATTGTGGCGGGCTCTGTGACGTAATAAGCCCGACCAATCAGCTTCTAGAACCATTCAGATGACGTAACGACTTGGCAATATTGCAGGAGAATGGCATTTATAATTTGCGTCATCTGTCACAGGCACTTGTCACTTTCGTGCTAGATGCAGTTAAACATCCCTCTCAAAACGTCAAATGTGACAAACGTCAGACCCTCGCGTAAGGTTGCCAGGTCACTTCTACGTGATTGGTTGTAGGTTTGTGACGTATTTAGTCTGAAGCGTTTCAAATTCAGACTTAAAACACAGCTTTTCAATGATTTATTTTGGGTTTATTTTACTCGCAAATAAAAATTGAGGACACACGGGTCTTTTTATTTTTAATGTACTTTGTGGATCAGAAATAAAAAATGAAGGCGGGATGACCCCATTATGGTTGCGACTAAATAAATGGATTTAAAACCAAAATTTAAAATTTAAAAGTGGTATCAGAAGTGGGATTTAAAACAGCACGTCACACGACAGCACAATGAACCTTTTTCCCCCGAGTTTCTATAAGACTTTGTCAAACATGATAGTCAATGCTATCCAGGCAGCAGTAAGAACAGTAGCAACTAACGTCACTCCACACGAGACAAACCAGAATGTACCAGGTCTGTACACCAACGTTTCAATGAAACCGCCTGCATTTTCCAATACGGGTCTAACGAACAGCTGCAACTTGCGAAGATTCCGGACCACGAACATGGTAATTATGAATGATGCACCTTGTGGACATGAGCACAGAACTGAACAACTTTTGGTTAGTCCCCAGTCCTCCGAAGACCTTTTGTACACTGATATAAAGAAAACGCTTATTGATCACTTCGATCGAATCAAAAACAAGTACGCAGAAAGTGTCAAATTCCGACAGCAAGCAGAACCATGAGCCTTACTGAGTAAGAAATAATAAACATCAACTACAACGACAATTCAAGCACGTTCAATTGATTTTATAATTTGTAAGGTAAGGGTTTTACCAATTCCAGAATGAAGAATTGGAAGCTGATGATTTTTATGGATTCGTAATTTTCTCTCTACATAGAACCTAAACACACTTTCCCTCTAAAATATTTGACCATGACGGATTAAGCATTATAAATCCTATCCTGTGCCGCGAAGGGCACCACCCGGTATACGTTTGTTTTCGATATCTTCAACGCCTCTGGTCGGCTGAATGACATTCGCTCATACTTAATCTTTTCCAACGGAATATTTTAAGGTAAGGCCCATATTGAATTTCATGCACTTGGGTTCGGAGATGTCAAAAGAGCCTTCTAAATTGTTTGACTTGCATTGCCAATTCACGAACCTACAAATTTAATCAAGAATCCACCTGCAAAATTGGATCGTAATCGGTCCATTCGTTTTCGAGATATCGTGGTAACGAACAGATGGGCAGGCACCGCAAAAGTATGAACTAGCTAGGAGCTCGTTAATAATCATGCAAAAATATATATCAAACGTCCTTTTGGCGGTAATAACTATAGCACTTGATTGAAGGAATTTGGATCTGGTACAAAAAACAAATTGCATGGAATGCAGAGAGAAAATAAATACTTCGCCACAAAATCATATAGGATGGTTCTTTCAAAATGTAACATTGAAGGTAGGGTCCTTTGAATTTTGGTGCGCTAATCGCCCTTACAAGGTAATGCAATATTGAAGAAACCTGAATTTATTTTTACCTTACCCCACACCAGTTTAGTTACCCAGAGGCATGCTAAATCCAGATTAGCGGTCCCTCCCCAATGGACCGTCAAGGTCTGTGAATGTGTTAATCTTTTTTCCCCCGATCTCAAAACTACAGCTGCTGAGTGAATCATCATGATTACTTTAAAAACAGAATCTACCGTTTACGGTATGAGCAAATTTAGTCTGAATTAAAATATAATACTTACATGGTAACCAAGGAATATGAAATTCTAACCGGTCAGCCCTGGCCCATCCGAACGGATCGATGGATGCACCAGAAATCGCTTTTATGGCATAAATGATCACATACAGTTGCACGAGGAGCATTTTCTTCACTTATAATATCACATTCCGTTCTCTAACTTTTCTGGCTGCTGTAACGAAATCAATCAGTTACAAAAATCGCAAAGTACTGATAGCGCAAGTCAAGGGTCAAGCTAAATAAATAAGACAATTAAAAATGATATTAACTTTAAAAGTGGAAGAAGCGACCAACATAACTGACCCAGACGGCAGATTAAGTAAACATTCACTGCACACTGATGCAAGGTAAATGATACGTTGTATCTCGAAGAGTAGATTACCATTTCTCTCACGCTTACCGTTCGCCGCTCGCTCGCCGCCGTCGACAGTTACACAAGTTAAAAAACGTTATGTTATGCAAGGAAGAAATTCAATGAAGAAAGCTTTCTCTAAATAGTATGGGCCCTAATTAAAAGATTGCAATCGACGCAAATTTCCGGATTCCGTTCGATCAAAACTACGGAATTTGTTTATGTAGGCGCGCGTATATCAATACATCAGGTGCTATAACATATTAACCTTATATAATATGGTCTTGGCAGTGAAACGCCTAATTAATCCAACGTCCTTGCAGGCCTACATTTCTTTCTTAATGCGTAGCATTTCGAAATCATTTGATGTTTTCAATTATGTTGCACGGTGCAGTGAGACGAAGCAAGAAAAATGTCTTCAAATTTCCACATAATTGAAATGCAAATGGAAACATCAAACACAAACGTGCAATTAACATCATTTTTAATTGCAAGTGTAATGTTATGCGTAAGCTAAGTGCCTTTGTCCAATCTAATCAAAGCTGACGAATTATAATGCAAAACTGTGTTCTTGTTTAATGAATATTCAGATTTTTAATTAGCATGTAAATGACTGTAATTTTCCATAAAAGTGCCAAATTTTGACAGCCTTTTTGTTTTTTTTTCAATGAGCAGTGTGTCTCTTTTATTGTGCTGGAATCTTTGGCGACCTCTTTGATCACTTGGACCTGTAGCGCGGAGACTAGAAGGAATGGATGAGCTACAGAATTACCAAGATCGCGATCCAGAAGAGCTGGTGTATATTTCAAAAATACAGGTTAGAATGAGTAGGCTAAGTGTCTCCTCTTTAACACTGAAATAATAATAATTGACTTTATTCCCATACATAATGTTATACAGGTGCATTCACTACATGAGAGTAATATAAATTTTTAAAAAACATTTTTTTAAGATATCTACAAGAAAAAACAAGAGGAAAAAGAAACAGAAAGAATGTGAATTTTTAACATTAAAAAAAACTTAAAGTAGATAAAGTGATCATTTTAACTGCAATGGTAGATAATGTGAAACAAATTATTGTGCATTCCAATTACATATGTTATTGTTATGAAATATAGAACGCGGAGCACGATATAAAATGAAGTTCAGAACAGAATACAATATTGTTTCCATGGAAACGACGAGAGAACCTAAGCTTTCTATTTTGAAGTTTAAATTAAATACCTACAGAATTTTCAGAAGTTTTATAGTGATTTCTATGGCTTCTGGAATAACAAAAAGTGTTGTATTATACAGATATAGTTGATGTAATACAAGAGAAGCATGCGAGCAGCCACAAGGTTAAGTGTTATTGTCTTCTAGCTAGTTGTGCTGTATATAAAGTGAGTTTTTTTTGTTTCTCTGAAAAATATGCCACATTCGTGTGTGGTTGATGTAGTCTTTCGTCACAATCGGAAAACTCTATTCTTACCATTAAATAATAAATCGGACTCAACATGGTGTATCTCCAATAATTCAACTTCTGTAATAATTGGAGACCTCAGTTATTTTTTCATCATCATGAAAAAACTGTTTGCTAAGCGGACCAAAAGAAATAATTTATCGTAATGCCCCATAGATGCTGATTCATTAGTTTAAAAATCAATTCCAACTGCCATTTTTGACCGGACAACAGAAATGGTCCAAATTTATGCAAACTTCATTTTTCTGTACTGGAAACAGCACTGTCGAGGGGTTTGTGCATCGGTTCTTCAAAAGATAAGTTTGCGTTTTTTTAACGTAACAACTTTAGGAACAGGGCTACATATAGTGGGGTCGGCGACAACTGGGTGCCATCCTCGAGAATCTTATATTAACCTGGAGATGTGTCAGTATTTTTGCCTATCTCCTTCTACAGTTTTGGTCCGATTGTTTTCAAATTAATGTCGTTGGAAAGGTCTTGTAAACACGCACAACTCCTGCGGGAATTTTTTCTTAGGGGCGAAATTAGCCACCTTTTGTAAAGCGCGCGTCTTCGAGGGGTGGTAGTCGACTTTGTCGGAAGTCGGAAGCGGTACCCACAAAGGGAAAGTGATTGCCCCCAACGAGATCTTACTGATGGTGGAGTCAAAACTTCAAACGCGAATTGTACAGGCCGTCGAAAAGGGGTACCGACAAAGGGAATGTGGTAACCCTCGACAAGATCTGATGGATTGTGGAGTCAAAACTGGCTAATAGAATACTGATCTGTCACACAAAAATGCGCTGAAATCCCTTCGATCTCACACGAGGACTTTGGTAATTTTTGACCAATTTCTAAGGGGTCATACAATGTTACAGCAAACCAATTTTTTGTGACATGTATTTAGCACGCCGAAAAAGTTACGATTACAATTTACCCGATTCGTTATTTTTAGCGCATTTCCACAAAAATTTAAAAAAAATGCGCTATTGTGGCCACTTTGTCCGTCCGTCCGTCCGTCCGTCCGTCCGTCCGCTAACTTTGCGACGCTACTAGTTTTTTATCTTAAGAGCTATTGTTCTACTTTTTTTCGCTATTTGGTTCGTTATGGTGTCGAGTCTTGTACCAAGGAAGGAATTTTTTCTGTACCGCTTACAAAAAATGTTATTGTAAAAAAAACAAAAAACCGTTTTTTACATGTTCCATAATTTTACACTTTTGCCGTTTATTAACGATCCTAGAGATCGTTTATAATTTTGCATTGCTATCTGTCGCCTGCCGGTTGGTCTCTCCGTCTGTTCCTTTGTCTGTCTGTCCATCTATCTGTCCGTGTGAACGATAACTTTGTTTAGAAATGTTCGATCGCTTTTACATCTCCGTTAGTTATGAACTGAATTGCATGAAATTCAATATGGGCATAGCTTTAGCCATATAATACGCAATGCCAAAAGTTGAATCGAATCGATTCAAAATTCACAGTGCCCTTTTCGCATCTCGACCATTTATAAACCGAATTGCAAACTTTTTTACTTATAAAAGTATTTGAATGAAATTTGATACATAGCACTTGGAATAAAGGAAAATCAACCGCCAATTTCAAAATTTGGTTTTGCGCATGCGCAGTGCCAACTTTTTTATTTATGGAAGAATTTAAACGAAATTTGATACATAGGCACTTGGGATAAAGGAAAATCAAACGCCAATTTCAAAATTTGGTTTTGCGCATGCGCAGTGCCAACTTTTTTATTTATGGAAGAATTTAAACGAAATTTGATACATAGGCACTTGGGATAAAGGTAAAATCAAACGCCAATTTCAAAATTTGGTTTTGCGCATGCGCAGTGCCAACTTTTTTATTTATGGAAGAATTTAAACGAAATTTGATACATAGGCACTTCGAATAAAGGAAAATCAAACGCCAATTTCAAAATTTGGTTTTGCGCATGCGCAGTGCCAACTTTTTTATTTATGGAAGAATTTAAACGAAATTTGATACATAGGCACTTGGGATAAAGGAAAATCAAACGCCAATTTCAAAATTTGGTTTTGCGCATGCGCAGTGCCAACTTTTTTATTTATGGAAGAATTTAAACGAAATTTGATACATAGGCACTTGGGATAAAGGAAAATCAAACGCCAGTTTCAAAATTTGGCTTTGCGCATGCGCAGTGCCAACTTTTTTTATTTATGGAAGAATTTAAATAAAATGTGATACATAGGCACAATAAAGGAAAATCTAGCGCTAGTTTCAAAATTTTATTTTGCGAATGCGCAGTGCCAACTTTTTTATCTATGGAACTATTTAAGTGAAATTTGATACTTAGGCGCTTGGAACAAAGGAAAATCTAACATTAGTTTCAAAATTTAGGTTTGCGCATGCGCAGTTCCAACTTTCTTATTTAGAAAAGCATTGAAATGAAATTCTTCTTATAAACTGAAATTGAAGTAGCACGTCAAAAATGGATTGCCCATGTGCAACGCTATCTTTCATATTTGTGGCGGGATTTTTACGATTTTAACAGAAGTTGCATCTTACAAATGGGAAATGAATGCAAGTGGAAATGCGCTTTATGTAAATCGTTTACGATTACTTTTTAACTTGTTAAGTTTAGTAAGAAGCTAGTACAGCTCACATACACCCTGTATAGTGGGGAACCAACCATAGTGTGGCGGTTCAGGTTCTAAAAGAAACGGTGCACTCCTTGGCACACCTTTCTAATTTGGAAGTCACCCTGGATAGGTGATAGAACTTAGGATGGTAGATTGGGTATTGTATATTATACAGGAAAGATTTGGTCATATGAGGGAGCCTATGGTATGACATACCCTTTTGCGGTGAGTCAAATTCAGTCAGAGCTGTGTCATCAGGAAACTGCCTCTTTAAAACAAATTAATGAAACAAAAAAGTTTTTACTTGCATACTGATAAGGTTGGGTTGGTACTAGGTAAAAAAATCCAACTTCATTGAAAACCAGTCAAACACTCGACGATCAAAGCCACGTCGTTTGATTTAATCGGGATTCTGGTGAATGAATTTTGAGTTCAAAATCTTAATTTTCTCATAAATTTTGTTGGTGAAATGTCAAACCGTTGGTTCTTTGATCAACACAGGTAAACATTGAATTTGTAGCTTACGTTGTTTGTCTGGGTACAATATGACAATTTCCCAAAGTACAGTTAGTCATTGAGTTGAATATTGTATTGTTGTGCCCGAGGTTGTGCCACAATGTTTTACAGCTTTAGAGGTGTCCCTGAACGATTTCCTGTTTTTGGAATCACTTCACCATCAAAAGGGGTAGTTAAGCTCTGGTTTTGAGAATTTCTTCGAGGTCGTATACTAGTCTTGTCAAGGAAGATGGTGTTAACGATTTAATAAAGGAAGACAAATAAGTTACATATAAGTTCGTTTGCCCGAAGTAAATTGCAAAAACCTAACGAAATCGTCGCATCCTACTCCATCGTTGCTACCTCGCACACTGACTGGTCGTCGCTTCACTGACACTTGGCCCGTATGAATAAAAGTAAGCAAATGCTTATACTTGCAAAATTCAAAGTAAATACTCGTAAGTGCTCC